TAGCGGAGTGCTGCTATGGACCGAATGACTGTACGATAGCCCGAGCCGCCTTTCATCCCAGCATGCTGGCGAGCGTAGATCGGACCTAGGATCCTCCTGCGTATCTGTACCACATAGGATTCCTGGCACTCGAAGAAGTGCGCCATAGTCTCCCGCTAAGGAAAACAGTATCTGCAGTGTGTCACACACTGTGTGTGAGGTTAGAACCGCTAATTCTACTAATGTAGACTCTTGTAGGCTGATGGCCAGTTAATGAGTATGTTATTATCCTCCTATCCTTCACACTCCACCTCAATACCGTCTTCGCAATCTTCTAAAACTGTTCCGGCCCTGATGTTAGTCCATAGCAGACCACCGATAGGGAGCCGATTCTTCCATCTCACCTGCTGCTTGGAATATGCTGCAGCAACATTTTTTATATAGGTTACAGGGAGTTCCAAGTCCTCTCCTGGAAGTAGCAGTCCCTGAAGTCCTGTTGGAAGTGCGGCTGCTATCTTCGCATAGCAATCCGCACTTTTTTCATTGCCGAATATTCCATCGTGATCTTTCACCCATCTGAAGCATATTGTGATGGTCCGCCCGGCGGTAGCCATATATGCATTGCTCTACTGTATATAACCCCGTATGCCTCGGAGAAGATGGATTCTCCTGGATCCACTGCTGATGGTCTTCAGGACAGATTGTGAGTCCACGTATAGCTTGGCTACGAACCATCTTTTCGAGTGGCTTCTCCTATCCCTGCATGGCGACTTAACGTCGCACTTCGGAGTTGACATTCTGACTGCAATTTTTAGATCAGCCTCCAATGGTTTCGCCTGTTGGTCAATCGTTTCCGTAGTAGAGGATTTTGGCGCGGAGGACGCTTACCAGGTGAGTGTCATACAGCTGATTTAGTGACATTATTCAGAGGTAAAGGAAGCAAAAAATCACCGGAAGGATATAGGGGAATATCGCTTCTCTCGGTCGTTGTAGAACCCTCTGATAGGACCTGTGCTGAGACTGCCTGAGGACTAGTCTCATGAAGAAGCTGACATGTCTATGACATGTGATGATGTCTGTGACAGAAGATTATGTCTCATGAAGTGTCACGAAATTGTCACCATCATTGACTTACACAAATGGGATTTTCAGACTTCATCGATCTACTGTAAAATTACGAATAGTGCGGTCCCACTCAGACTATCAGGAAGCTCTTCTTGCAGAGAGCTTGCCACTTCTACCGAAGGTGCAACAGAGGTATTCGGAGGCTCAACTAGCACCGACCACTTTAGGTGGTCGGTTAGGAGCGCCAAGTGGGTGCTATTAACCATATGACCTCATCAAAGGTGCTCTTGAACTCCTCAATGCTCAGAATCACCCTGAAGTCTTCCTATCATTCGAAGACCGCATGAATGTGGTCAACATAGCAACTTGTCACGGTTGGCTATTCTTTGTTAACCTATGCGTGGTTGCATATACATCTGGGCCCCAGATGTATATGCCCAGATTCTGGGGTTAGAGTTCCTTCGGAGTTACTAGATATACACAACAGAGATTCAATTGTGTCGGGTAACTCAGTTTATCTGAGATTACATAAACGGAAAAACTCTCTTAGTTCAACTCGTCTTCATCTCATCTGCACCTGTGATCTTAACGAGAGTGCTTCATGTCCGGTTGGAGCTGCTCGCTCTGTTCTCACTACTCATAAACGCACATTATCTCCATCGTACTTTCTACTGGAACGTTGCACATTCACTCAGTCTCACACTGACTCAAATAACGTGCCTTCTCATAGCTTTCGTCGAGCATTCACTACTGATCTGACCCTAGCTCGAGCACCGCCCTCTCTTATCGGCAAGTTAGTCAGCGTCGAGATAGAAATTTCACTATATCAGTGAAGCGGCCAGGGACGCCTCGTTACAGTGGTAATCATCACACGTGAGTTTACATTGGACTCCTCCCATATCATATTCAAAATATTGGAACATTACTTCATGTTGCGTTCAATCTTCCCTCACTATCTAAGTTCATCGAGGGGAGAAGGGAAGCTAGCTCGGGAAGAAACAGCACATCCGACGCTGTCTAGCGTGCTTGAACTCATGGAGAATAGCACGCTGAGAAAGGTTGGACCTCAACTCTAGCCTCTCCTCTCCCAACGTAGCCAAGAAGTTACAGGTTGAGGACCAATCAAGAAAGCGTGTAAGGACGGCACGACTAGTTTGTGCCACATACACGCGGTTGTTGGGCGTGCGCGAAATGCACATCGAATACGCAAAAACAACAGTGTACGTAAACACAAGCACATAGGAGCTTCAGATTTAACTCTAACATCCCTCTTTCTTGTTCCCGCCCTCCCGGGGAATAGCGCGCTAAGACAGGTTGGATCTTAACCCTAGCTTCTGCTCTCCCAACCAAGAAGTCAAGAAGTTACAGGTTGAGGACCAATCAACAAAGCGTGTATATAATATATTACACCACTACGACGACGTGCCATGATCAGTGGCCAATGCCCACCAAACCTGAGATGAATCCAACAACCTTCCGAATGCTCCTCACAGTAAAAGAGATCGTCATCAGAATCGTTAGTAATCAACATCGATCCCCCATTACCTGTTTCTCAAGAACGACACTCGTGCTTTCCGCATTTCGAGGTAAACGTTGTGGTAAACGGCGAACCAACAGCATACGTGATGGTATACACGCAAGTTGGCAACTTGAAGTTGCACTCTGAGGTGATTTGATACTTATAAGAGACAACAACGGCATAAACGTCACAAATACTTGAGATAGTTTTTAGCACACCTTTGAAGACTTTTCAGGACTTGAAGCTGAGACTAACTTTTCTGTAGTCGGTCGTTACTACCGTAAACTTTCTGCTCGGTAGAAGCTGTGATTCAAACTCCGCTGAGACAACCGTTCCTCTGGGGGAAATTAGGCGTTAAGGGCGTACAAGTATAAGGTGCACCTTTGCAGTGCAAAGTTTGCACTCTTCGAAATGAAAACCATGCGAATGGTGACGATGATGGAAGTGCTTGCTCACCATAGAGGTCCTGCAAGATTCGCATCACAGCAAGGAAGTTCATTCGGTCTAACCAAGGGCTTATTTCCCTTTCGGACCAGCAGTGCTGATGAGGAGGATTTATGAAGATCGAAGACATTATCCGTGGGAGAAAACTCGTCTCTGGTATTGTTATCGAGCCAGTGTTGAATCGGAATTAACATGTGAAATATTTCCTTGGATTATAACTGTGGTCAAGTATGGGTTATTGAGTAGCGGTTTGAGATTCATACATTATAAGGCTTACAATAATTCAATAACAGAGGCCTGTGTTCATAGATCAAGTATGGTTTTTCAACTCGACTAGACAAGTAGAGGAAATAATTTATTTTAAAATTCATTCAATTATTAATTCGACTATTCTATCAATTGTTGATCAAAATAGTCAAAATATCTGATGGGAGTTACGAAGTCAATTTAAGGAAAGACGATGATTCGAGAGGTGGAAGGATTCATTTATAGTCCCGATATCAACGGTTGATACTTATAATTGAGGTCAAGTGCCTCGCTGAGCTTCTAGGACGAGCTTAGCTTGAAAGATGTGATGTGAGCAAACATCTAGGGTTCGTTAGCATAAACAGTAGTGCTGGTAGACTCTCCACAAGCACATTGTATGTTATCACTCAAACGACGGATATCACTGTTGCCGTTTAAACGGCGGTCTCTTTGACAAGTGCTTGGACTCCTCCAGTATTCACAATAAGAACCAGGGATCACAGAATCACAGTATGCATCAGCATCGGTGCAATCCGGAATGCCAGTAGTGGTACTTGATGCAGAATTTGTCGTCGTACCAGTAGCGGACGTGGTAGTTGTAGTACTGCTAGTACTCGTGGTAGTTGTAGTACTGCTAGTACTCGTGGTAGTTGTAGTACTGCTAGTACTGGTGGTAGTTGTAGTACTGCTAGTACTCGTGGTAGTTGTAGTACTGCTAGTACTCGTGGTAGTTGTAGTACTGCTAGTACTCGTGGTAGTTGTAGTACTGCTAGTACTCGTGGTAGTTGTAGTACTGCTAGTACTCGTGGTAGTTGTAGTACTGCTAGTACTCGTGGTAGTTGTAGTACTGCTAGTACTCGTGGTAGTTGTAGTACTGCTAGTACTCGTGGTAGTTGTAGTACTGCTAGTACTCGTGGTAGTAGTAGTAGTAGTAGTAGTAGTAGTAGTAGTAGTAGTAGTAGTAGTAGTAGTAGTAGTAGTAGTAGTAGTTGTTGTTGTTGTAGTGGTCATGATCGTCGTTGTTGTTGTAGTGGTCATGATCGTCGTTGTTGTAGTAGTCGTAGTTGTAGTAGTCGTTGTTGTAGTAGTCGTTGTTGTAGTAGTCGTAGTTGTCGTTGTTGTAGTCGTGGTCGTGGTCGTAGTAGTCGTCGTTGTAGTAGTCGTCGTTGTAGTAGTCGTCGTTGTAGTTGTCGTCGTTGTAGTAGTCGTGGTCGTCGTCGTTGTAGTAGTCGTGGTCGTCGTTGTAGTAGTAGTCGTTGTTGTAGTAGTCGTTGTTGTAGTAGTCGTTGTTGTAGTAGTCGTTGTTGTAGTAGTCGTTGTTGTAGTAGTCGTCGTTGTAGTAGTCGTTGTTGTAGTAGTCGTTGTTGTAGTAGTCGTTGTTGTAGTAGTCGTCGTTGTAGTAGTCGTTGTTGTAGTAGTCGTTGTTGTAGTAGTCGTTGTTGTAGTAGTCGTTGTTGTAGTAGTCGTTGTTGTAGTAGTCGTTGTTGTAGTAGTCGTTGTTGTAGTAGTCGTGGTCGTCGTCGTTGTACTAGTCGTGGTCGTCGTCGTTGTAGTAGTCGTTGTTGTAGTAGTCGTGGTCGTAGTCGTCGTCGTTGTAGTAGTAGTCGTAGTTGTCGTCGTTGTTGTAGTAGTCGTTGTTGTAGTAGTCGTTGTTGTAGTAGTCGTAGTAGTCGTCGTTGTAGTTGTCGTCGTTGTTGTAGTAGTCGTCGTTGTAGTAGTCGTCGTTGTAGTAGTCGTTGTAGTAGTAGTCGTTGTAGTAGTAGTAGTCGTGGTCGTCGTCGTTGTAGTAGTCGTTGTTGTAGTAGTCGTTGTTGTAGTAGTCGTTGTTGTAGTAGTCGTTGTTGTAGTAGTCGTAGTTGTCGTCGTTGTTGTAGTAGTCGTTGTAGTAGTCGTTGTTGTAGTAGTAGTCGTCGTTGTAGTAGTCGTCGTTGTAGTTGTCGTCGTTGTTGTAGTAGTCGTGGTCGTCGTCGTTGTAGTAGTCGTTGTTGTAGTAGTAGTCGTTGTTGTAGTAGTCGTTGTTGTAGTAGTCGTGGTCGTCGTCGTTGTAGTAGTCGTGGTCGTCGTCGTTGTAGTAGTCGTTGTTGTAGTAGTCGTGGTAGTAGTAGTCGTCGTTGTAGTAGTCGTGGTCGTCGTCGTTGTAGTAGTCGTTGTTGTAGTAGTCGTGGTCGTAGTCGTCGTCGTTGTAGTAGTCGTGGTCGTCGTCGTTGTAGTAGTCGTTGTTGTAGTCGTCTTAGTTGTCGTCGTTGTAGTAGTAGTCGTTGTTGTAGTAGTCGTCGTTGTAGTAGTCGTTGTTGTAGTAGTCGTTGTTGTAGTAGTCGTCGTTGTAGTAGTCGTCGTTGTGGTTGTGGTTGTCGT